ATAGATAGATAGATAGATAGAGAGAGAGAGAGAGAGAGAGAGAGAGAGAAATGAAACCTCCTCTTGCCAGAGCAGCAGTAGAGTGGAGCGGTACTACTGCAACTAGATAACTGAGGGAGGAAAAAGGAGGAGGAGGTGGAAGAAGAAGAGGACACGTGACGATGTCTCTCCGTTCCCCTGGGCTCTGGATAACAGGACAGAGAGAGAGAGGGAATACAAGATGGGTTTGGCTGTTAAAGAAGGCGTGAGAGGGATGGAGAGCAGAGAGGAGGTAGAGCTGGAGGAGGAAGACCACAGGAAGGAGGGAAAAGTGATGGGTGGGGAGACGGGGGAAGTGAGAGTGATGTATGGAGGGAGAGCGAGAGAGGTTTGGAGGAAGGATGGGATGAGGAGGGAAGGCAAAGATGGAGATGGAAGAAGGGGGGAAGGGAGAGGGAGGGAAATGAGAAAGAGCAAACAGCGAAAAGAGCACGCTCAGTGAGGGAAGGCGTATGTGTGTGTGTGCGTGTGTGAGCGCTGCAGTAACCTGCTTTTCCCTGCTCCCTATGATCAATCACTCAGCACAGCCTATATAACACACACTGCTGTTACCTTATGGTGCATAAACACTCAAACACATATACACACACATACTGTATTTCTGTATTGAGATACTGTACGTGTATATACACCCATTACTATGCATGACTTCTATCGCCAATTATAGTCATATTTCAAGTGTTCATGTATATTCATATAGATCATATTAAATCGAATGCAAGGTCTCGGTATGAACACATGCTGCAAGAAGCTAGCATATGTTTACCATGTTTCCTTGCTGTGTGCGTGACAGTGTGTTCGATGCAAGGTTTAAGACCTTGACAGGGAAGACATATTTGAAAACTTACTCCGAAGGGTTATTTGAGGGTTCAGACCTGTTTTAAGGAAATGTAATGTAGGAAAACTGCTTTATTAGATTTCCAGATCTTGCTTGGAAGTTCCTAAATTTAAAATGTACAACGTTTAATGAATGTATTATTTTAGTGTGGGTCCAAGTATGGTTGTACAAATGTGTGTGGTGTAACATTGAAGATAATGTGCCGCCTACTACACAAATTCATCTGTAGCTTCCATTTGCACATTGTCAACAGGTGTCTCCTTTTTGATGGCAGTCAGTGGCAAAAATGTCTTTTCTGCCAATGGGGATTCTTGTATTTCTTGCAGTACTGTGGTCGGCCACTAGGATTAATCTGCAGCAAGACTGACTTAGCTACGTCATAACAAAATCTATGAGTGTGTCTGCAGGTCAACAACAAAAATTGCTTTATTTCCAAGATAATTATGGTCCCTAGAGAATAAACCTTCTTGTCTTTGGAGTTTTGGTCACCTATTGCCGACATTTACGTTTTGCGCAGAAGATGCCAAATTGAAGCACATTCCTATAAAATTTCTTAACCCATTCATGAGCCCAATGTGATGAGTTCTTATGATTGTAATGACCCCATGACCTTTCACCGTAGTATCACCTTCAGGACAAATAAATTTGTAGCTCAACCTCCAAAAATAGCTAAACCATCCTTGTTTGGTCCAACAATTAATATAATGTGGTATGTAACATTGCAGCATCTACAACCCGCTACAAAGGCTTCAGACTTTTAGTTTAGTTTAAAGTTTACGTGTTAATAGTGTCAGTCTCTCTCTTTCTCGCTTCTTCTCTCCTCTCTTGGTTTCTGGGAGAGTGTGCGCTTGTGCTGTGCGAGTCGTGACTGAGAAGGCTTCTGCCACTGGGTTGTAAAGTGTGCATGTATGTGTGCATGCAAGTGTACTGACTTCATTCTTGGCAAACACACTGGAGAGAGAGAGATACTTGATGAGGACAATAATTAATGACAGAGGGAAAATAAGGAGAGGGGACACACATACGCGCACACACAGTGTATTTAGTATTCAGGGATGACAGTCCATTGATTTTCAGGGCCTTGCTGTGACGTCACACAGTAATCTAATCATTTACGGCAGACTCTGGGCCAGTCAGTCAATGAGAGGACACCATAGACCCTACGACTTTACTAACGGATGTTTACAGACACAGTGTTCAAAAATAGACCTCTCTCATTTTACACATACTAAGTATACAATTATCTACATCATACTGTATACCTAAATGTATATTTTCCATGATGGTTGGCTCCGTCTCACTCTCTGAGATTATTTAAATGAACTTTTGCAATTAATAGTTGAATAGTTGAAAGTGACCAATCCAAGTAGCAAAGATGCACATAGGTGCTGATAAAGGAACATTTCACTGAAAGTATATCTTTTGAGATCAAACACTTCTTATAGACTTAAAAGTTTGTAGTTTGCTCTTTCTTACAAGGGAGAGGTTGTAGTTGGCAAACATCTAAACTGCTTGACTAATTTTAATGTAGCCTTGCTATAGGCTTTCAGCTGTATTTTGTGGGACAAAATGAAAATAGAATATTGGAGCAGAAAATATAATGAGACTGTCTGGGACCTTACACAGTCTTAGGTCTCAC